GGGGGGGGGGGGTATAGGTGAACCAAAGATATATTTGTCTCTAGCAATGCAAAGTTAAGAAAGATATATGGTAATAACACAATAAATTCCACACCTTTTGGCTAAAAAAAGTACTATCACAAGCATGGTATTTTTGGGAAACAATGCATAAAATGTATTAAGACACTAACCTGGGGTGGCATACTCCTTGTTCGCACGACTGGTGATGATTTATCATGCACATCTGCATTATGATGCATTGGGGTTGAGGTGGTGCGATGCCTGCGAGACTTATCTACTGTCAATCTACTGGAAACAGGCAAGTCCTCACATGATTTAGCTCTCCTGGAATTTTTCTTACGACTGAAGAATTTTCTAACTTTTTTCAAAGGACCCCATTTCCATATAGATTTTCTCTTTTTCTCAGGTTTCTCATCATATTCTGCATCATGCTCTATCCCAGTAGCTATTTCTTCATTACTGCTATGAGGTGGTTCTGAGATTCTTACATTTGGTCTTCTTGCAGGAGCTAGATGTTCATGTGAGGCTGATGTTGAAGCCATGTCAGAACTTAACCCATGTCCTGGCGTCGCATGAGGAAATTGAAGCGAACTATTACTACCAGATAGTGCAGTGTCAGATTCGAACTGTGCCAAGAAATCAGCTGATATTTTACCAGGTTTCTTGAAGGCTTTTCCCACATCTGAAAAATAAGTGAAAATAAATTAAATAAATAATTCAAATTTCAGTATATGTTACTTGCATTAGGCATTTATTAGACACATGAAATCTCCATAATTTGTGTAAATAATGTTTCTATTTCAATTCCAAAGAATTGTTACTTTGCCATGAAACACTGCACCATGTTCTTCACAATCCTATATTTTTACTTTTCCTGATTTAAAAATTAAAAACTTTTTTTTTGAAAGTTGAGCTTACACAAGGCAATTTAACATTTTAAAAGAACTCTTGGTTTGGACTATAAAATCTAAAGATATGAATTTATTAAAACTGCTATTTCCACCATTTAAATGCTCATTTTTAATGACACAACAAAATGGTAAATATTTTTTCTAACAAGTATTCTTTATAACTGTGATATATTTTCCCATGTTTTGCTTCAAATATTAACAAACGTCTGATGAGTTGGTAAACTTTTGATTGCTGCAAGCACGGAAAAAAATTGAGGTTTCAGAAACGTGTCATTGAAAAATGCACTTTAAACGAGTTTTTCTTGTTTTGGTTACCAGATAATTATTTTTCAATGATTTAGAAAATTTTTTCCAAATGACAAATCTCTCAGCTAGCTTTTGTCCTGCATGCATTTACAGATTTATTTGAGGCTGTTCTTTATTCTTATAAAACTTGTACAAATCTTGTACAAATATCAATAGAAGTGCACCATTTGTTCGCTTATGTTTTTGAAAGATTAATGTATTAAAACTAAATCCTAAAGAGCAATAGCATTTTGTTTAGATTACAGCTCTTTGAAACAAATGGTGAACTTTGCTAGCCTAGGTGATATTTTTCTAGGACTTTTGAATGAATATCCACTGAGCCATTATGAGAGGTAACATAAGAGGAAGGCAAACACATGGAATAGTAATCACATGAAAATATTTATTAATATTCATTAATAATACAAGGACGGCAAAATCTTAAGGAAATTAACTGAAAGCACTGACACAATGAAAGGAAAGAGCTATTAAAAGGCTATTAAAATTTAATACTTGTCATTCATTTAAAAATACAGTGAATAAATCAAAGAGCTTTTTAGTTTTTATTCCTAAATTGTCAACTGAATATTTACTTAAGAGATGATTTTGAAAAGTAACTTTCCTTGCAGCTGTATAAATCTTGACATTTGATATCACTTTGATGTGACAGATTATATAGCTACATTGGCATGAGCTCCAAAACTTTGAAAGTATAACCATTATGTTAAGGGTTATTATGAGGGTGATGGTGATGGTTTAAGGACATAAACAAGGTATTTGATTACTGAGATATGATCTAATACCTATCCCTCATTATTACCTTTATTGGCTAGCATATAAGATTTGATTTAAGATATGGATTAAGATTAAGAATCATTGGGAACAAATAATTAATAAAGAGACAAAAATTATTCATAAATCCTCCCTAGCTTGCAGCAATCCCTAGAGCAGCATAATTTAGAGGACAATACAAAGAATCTTAATTCTCGTGGGAGTAAAATTTTGTTCAAATCCTCTAAATTGAGTTGCATTAAAAATATCCCACAAAAAGACAAGACAAAAAATATTAATAGATCCTCCCTAGCTTGCAGCAATCCCTAGAGCAGCATAATTTAGAGGACAATACAAAGAATCTTAATTCTCATTGGAGTAAAATTTTGTTTAAATGCTCTAAATTGAGTTGCATTAAGAATATTCCACAAGGAGTGCATTGGATTCAGTAATTATTGCTAGAAGCTGTGTTCTAGGTTACGATATATTATTATAATATTTAACAATTAAATTATTGTACAATAGCTAGTAAATAATTCACACTATATAAAGTGGTAGATTTTTGTATACACATATGCCATAAATTGAATTGCATTAAAAATATTCCACAAGGAGTGCATTGGATTCAGTAATTATTGCTAGAAGCTGTGTTCTAGGTTACGATATATTATTAACAATTAAATTATCGTTTAATAGATAGTAAATAATTCACACTATAAAGTTGTAGATTTTTGTAAACACATACGCCAGGATTTCATCCTGAAACAAAATAATGTGCTATGCAGGTGCAAGTTTCTAGGAAATACAGCTAAAGGGGGCATATTCTCTGAAAGAAAAATTTGATCCCTTAAAAATTATATCTCATATATCTCAGTGAAAACTCTGTGTAGGAATAGAAAATCATTGCACTCAATAATCCACCCCTGTTAAATTTTCATTCAAGACAAAACAAATGTCCTAGATGTCTGAGTTGTGTTCATAGAACAGCGTTGTGCAGCAGTTAATGGGTAAAGCTAAATTTGACAGCAATGCATATTAAATGCATACATGTATACTTCTTATACAAAGTACATATTGCAGATTGCAAAATGATGATAGAATTATATATGCAATAAGTTAGAAATAATAGAGTTCAAATGATCCCTAGCAAATCGAGTCTGGTATGATAAATAAACGCCCCTTGCATGGGGCGTTAATGCAGCTCAATTTTTGACAAAACAAAATAATTGCAATTTCATGCAAATTGAAAACCTATTTTTATGTTCTCCAATATTTGAGCTGAATTGCGACATGCTGCAAATGGGTCTATACTGTTTGTTTGCATCTTGCTTACAGTAGTATGCCTAGGTCACATATATCAAGGCCATTAAATAAACAATATTATTTTTGGCTGTTTCTCCAAGAGCTATAGCTATAGGTATAGCTAGTAAGGCATGATAATTGGACCCCATCAAAAAACTGCAGTTTTAGTGTACAGAGTTAGTTTGCCAAGAGCTTCAACTAAATAGATGCATTTCTATTATGGTAGAAGCTATGGTATAACAAAAGATACATCATGAATACAACCATAACAAAGACATGCATAATACAAATTATAGCACATTCTTTGTTTGGGTTGTTTTCATTAACACCAGTGTAAAATCAAAAAAAGTGCTAAATAACTTATATATAATAGAAATGCAAAGCTAAAAATATAAACACGGTAATATCAATAATAGCTCACCATCAGCAGATAACGAGGACCTCATGCCAGCTTTTTTTTCAGCCATATTTTTGTAATCAAACAACCTTTATTCTTCGATTTAGAGCGCTACTTTAGAAACCCTGCAATCAAAATTAAATCTTCAAACTTTAATATATTTTTTTAAATTTTACGATGTTAACACACTTCAAGAGAAAAAGGACAAAGAAACAATGGCACTAGATAGCATAGTTAAGTAAATAAAGCTGTAAAATCTGAAAACTGTGGAAAACCTTAGTAGGTCATGTAGTTGGGGGAGAAATATACTTTCGTTCGGAGCAATTTTAGTAGAATATTAAGCTGACTTGTTTAAGATTAAACCACTTGACAATATTAAAGAAGGGGTTTCTAGACGTCGGGAACACGAACTTTTATACTTGAGATCGAAACACGATATGCAGGACAACCATCTGTACAAGCAAATTGTACAAATTTGTAAAAGTTTTATTTTGAAAATGCAGTGTATTCGAACCTGCTACTGGGAAAATGATGCGATCACGAGAAATAAGGTCGCAATAATAAAAAATCAGTAAATGAATGTAAACAATTCGCGATTTGATCGTGGTTATTTGGGACTCCATAAGTTGATCAACGACGCACAACCTGGATTATTATTTTGTGACCTATAAAATATACAAACTCTCGTCTACTCACATTGTCTTTGAATGAAAATTAACGTAATCGAAGGGTGTAACAGCATCTCGAAGATTCGTGATTTGTTTACGATGAAAACAATCACCAAAAAATTGCCTTCATTGAGAGTTTAGCTTAAATTCGGCCTTCTAAACTTCTTAACATTTCAACAACAGTTGAGTTTAATAATCCTAAGGGATTTTCCCTTCAATACCAACTGTAAGGCTTCAATTAATAATCCATGGATAGCATTTCTAAGTTTAAATGAAGCTGTTCAAATGTAAAAATGATATTAGTTGAACTTACTTTAAGTTAACTTACTTTAAGTTAAGACAACCTACTACTGTCCTCGGCTATCGCAGTGTTCGTTGCCCTCATTTTGAAGGAGTCTATAAAACCAACCTTGTAAAAATGTAGACAAATTATTGACTTAATAGTTATAACTCATGGTTATCCAATTTGTTGAATATATTAAAGGCAAGGGAGCGAAAGAAGACAGTCAAATCTCTAAGCCGTGTCGTATGCTTGCATATCTGTCATGGAAAGCTTCCCATTGTACTTCTATTGTGTGAAAAACGCCATATATGGCAATATAAACTGCGGCTAGCAACACGCTATCCCGCTACCAAAAGTTTTTTTCACTATTTCATTCCGTTTTTTCCAGTTTTCTAAATAAAAAGAAACACGAAATCTTCACATTTCTTGATTTAACATGAAATTTTCTGGTTATTTCGGGGTCACATTAGATGCACGTGTCCCACCACAGCCACCATCCCGAACTAACGTGTTTGTTCAGTGGAGTCAAAAAACTATAAAATATGTCATATATTATCTATTCCTTCCAGTACAGTTTATGACATACCTTTTAAATAATTAAATATTTCTTTTTAATATAGTTAGAAATAGAGTATGTTCTAAACTTCACGAATAATAGAGGAAAAACTTCCTAATCCCGTTTCGGAGTAAGAGTTTCAGCGTACCCCCAAAAGCCAGAAAAAATTACAGAAGTTGTCTTAATTCTGCCTTTTATAGTCATTTGAGAATTTATTTTCTTTACAGTTCTAGAAAGGTAAATTAAACAAAGACTTTGATCTGTCATATCGACCGGTCAAGCGTTTTGCCATTTACGTGTTAGACGACTTATGACGTAAAGGTCCTACAAAGACAATCAATTGACCGAGAAAACATTTAATCTTCCGCTGAAAATTCTTTGTCTTTGCTTCAAAACTCACCAGAAATCGTTCGATAACTTCTTATTAACTTGTCTGACAATTTCTCATCTGCTAGTGGCATATTATTTGTCTTTAGTCAGTCAAGTCAGTCAGTCACGCTTATTTATGGTTTGTAAGGAACGTAACGACAAAGATTCCAAACTTTGTCAACTTATTAGAACAAACGTTTGATGTGCGTTAGTTGAAAAAATAGCTGTGGGGCAAAGAGAAGAGAAGTAATGGTGTGGAACTTCATTTATTGTTTTGATGGATAGACTTGGATCTAACTATAATAAGGTGGCCGTTTAGTCACTGGATTAGTGATAATGAACAGAAACCTAGGAGTTCATTGATGAATGCAATGCGGATAATTGGTGGGGCACGACCTCTGTATTTGTGTTGGCTAAATTTCATCCGGCTTGGCCTAAACTGACCCAGTACCTCTCAACAACCATTATCAACTCTTCCCCAATCTCTTCCCCACTAATAACATTCGAGCGAATGAATGAATGAATGAAACCTTTACTTAAAAATAAATAAAGCCAGGGTAGTCCCTTCATTATTACTATTAAAAAGCTCTGCTATCAATGGAAGCCCTGGCATAAAATACAAGTACAAATAAATACAAATACTGATAAGTGAAATAGATAAATACAAATAGATATATGAGTTAAATACTATAAATATGTGTAAATATATATAAGCCACATTACGGCTTGAGAATCACTTCCAGCGCGCACGCGACACCATCCCGAATCCCCCGCCCTCCCTAGTAACAAAGGAAGAAGACGCACCGAAGACGACTCCCAAACCGCAAAACGGCCCATAGTACGTTAAAAATCTACATGACTATAGTTAAAATACTATTTACAAAATATTATATATAAGGTAAGTGTATAATTTCTAGGAAATAAATTTATTATATAAAATGCACCCTTTTTTAATAAAAAGACTTTTTGGCAGTTCCGGTTCTAAGTGGCAAATGTAGCAAATGCGATCTCCAAATCGGCTAGAAATTAGTACAGACCAACATATAGCACAGAACAAGATATCCTGAAAAGTTAGTAGCATTTATTTCAGTATTTTCAAAAATATTCCACATTACAAACTATTAGTAAAAACCCCACAAAATCAGAGCTTGGGCAAACTGTGGAAAAATTTACTTGATTCCATTTTTAATAATTCGAATATTTCTGAAGTTCTGAAACTACTCTCGTAAGTCGTTGGCTTTTCCACAGGTAGCCCAAGCTTGGTTTCTGTGGTGTCAAGTCATAAGGAAATGTATGGGGAAAATCCTTAAAACCACACAGAGCGAAAGAAGTGCTATTTATTCAATGATCGGGTAAAATTTCAAGGCTTTATTTCACGTTTAAATGATTTTATTGAAACTTTTGAAGAATCCCCATACATTTCCTTTTGACACCATGGTTTTCCTGAGTTTTAACACTAGTCGCCAGGACTTTCAAATGACGGTAGAGAAGAACGTGGAACGCCTGGCGGATATCTGTTTTCCTGTTGAAACGAAAGTGCATTTTTCGTTTCTCTTTGCTTTCTCGTTGTCTAGATCAAAAATATTTAATATTTGAATTTTAGTTCTCCATTATTATGAAGTCTATAGTCTTCAGTATTTGTTTTTGGAGTTTAGTGATTTTTAAAGTTAATGATGCAGTTTTTTCAGAATCTTTACCGATAGTAATCAACACATGGGGACCACCATTCACAAACGCAACATTGAAGGGTAAGACCATGAAATACCTCCAAATATAGTACAAAAACTTGAATTATATCTATTAAGAAATAAGAGTAAACTTGCTTTAGCAGAAAGTCAATTGATCATGCAGTTTGAGGAATTATATTCATATATTGATGAGAGTTCAATTTTAAGTATCTTGCTGGACGTGTTAGCATATAAGAATATATGTATGTGATGGCCTAACAACGTATCGTACCAATTTGTTTTTGTCTTTTTTAGCATGGGAGGTTATAAATACTAAGGGATCATCTTCCCTAGATGCTGTAGAGGCTGGCTGTACAGAATGTGAAGTTGAACAATGTGATGGGACAGTGGGCTATGGAGGAAGGTTACTCACCTGTACATTGTATAATTATGAATGCATTAGGATAAATATAAGCCACTATATATTGAAATGAGATTATGAATTAACAACAGGAAATACTTAACTAAAATACCATTGATTTGAGTATGTTAAATTATGCTGCAGCCCTAATGAAGATGGTGAGACAACACTAGATGCAATGATCATGGATGGGTAAAATACTTTAAAATCTTTAGGCAAATGTGTTAAATGAAGAGAGCAGAAATAAGGGAGGGAAATATTTTTTATCCTGGCACGTCCCATGTAAATTCCCAGTTGGGTTATTTTTAGTAACCATTGCAGTTGAAATTTTGTCTCACCCTACTCCCATGGGTCAGCTAGTGCACGCCTACTCTATTTTAGTTTGGTTGTTTTGATCTCATTTTTAGTCGTTTTTAGTGACCGAAACAACAAATGGAAAGAGAGCACGCGTGTGCTAGCTGGGGAGTAGGGTTAGGCAAAATTTCAACTGCATCTGCATGGTTACTAAAAAAATAGCCCAACTGGAAATTTACAAGGCGTGCCCCACATTAAGAAGTTTCCCTCTCTTATTTATGCTCTCTTGGTTAATTTTTTTTTCTTTGAAAAAAATAAATCATCATTTAAGAATCTTGCTTTATTTCAATTTAAAAAGGTCTTTGATACCATTTATTTTCATTCATTAAAGTGTCACGCATGATGTTGGTGCCGTTGGTTGCTTAAAGGATATCAAGAATGCTATTGGAGTAGCACGCAGTGTAATGAAATATACAAAAGAAACATTTCTTGTAGGAGAAGATGGTTAGCTATGTTTTTATTAATTTTAATTGTTATGTAAAACTCATCAAGCTCTAGTTCTGAGCTTTCTTTCGCTCAGCCTTAATCTCAGTTAGTGTGTTAAAATATTATGCCATTTGAACAAAACCCATGGAACTTTAATGAACTTTTTTTGTTACCATACAATATATGGACCTTAATGAATAAAGAAAAGAACAATTACTTGCATGTACATCATCAAGGCTATGGCTGAGCAAATATTAAAGTGCTACTATGACGAAAATTGCTCAAACTTGGATTCAGCTGAAACTTCCTAA